AAAGAGTGTCTGTATCTTGTTTCTCTCTCTGGGAAAATGGTTAGCTTCTGAAGGACCAGAGGGGTCACAGCAGCTATTCCATTGCTGAACCTGCAGCAAAAGTCTGTTTTGAAGATTTCTAGAAGCTGTTGCTGTGAAGCAGGGCCAGGGAGATTGCTCTGAGGACTGATGGAAAAGTAGTTTTCCAAACATATGACCTGCATGCTTGTGGCTTTGAGTTGTGTATTGATAAACCACTGTAGGGTGTGGGGTTTGAAGCTCTTTCAGTCCTCAGATTTCTCCTCAGTCAGCCTGCTTCTGGGAAAAGCTGCAGGATAGGGCTGCAGATTATGATAGAAATTGATATCCATCTCAGATTCAGTTGTGCTGCCAATCCTATCTGCTCACCAGCACTTGCTATTCAGTGGGTGGAAAGGAATGTGTGAACCTTTCCGAAACTTATTCAGGCAAAGACAGCTGAGTTAGCTTCAAGGTGATTTGAATTACCCTGCTGGACTCTGTCAGGGAGGTTATTAGCATCTTCCATGGTCTCTTCTGCTGATAGACTTGTGGAAGTGATAATCCTTGGTAGAAGGGCAATGTAGCTTTTTGTAACCATGAACACAGGTTCTCCATTTGAAGTCTCAAAAAATGTCAAAAGCATGGGCCATCACTAGATGTTACCAGCACTGTTGGTGAGGATCAGAGCAGTAGAGGACACACTTGTCCTTCATCTGCTACACAGGCTTGCCACTGCCTTCATGTAAATTAGACTTTATTTAGCATGCACTTTGAAGCTGAACATGAAAAGCTATTTCAAGGGGACTGTTAACCTCAAGAGCCTGGCAAAAATAAGTACTGGGTATTTTGGGCTAAATATGTTCTGGGGGCAGGCCTTCAGGAGGCAGCTGAGGTCATGGGAATATCATAATCCTGAGCTGTGCCAGCAGAGTAAATATGCAGTCTACCTCAGCTATGCAGACCTGGTTGGAGTATCTATTGAAAAGCAAACTTTTTCTTCCAAAATCAAGCTTTGTGCTGAAGAAATAAGGATTTCTGAGGGGGCTTCTGTAGTTATTTCAGTGCTGAACCTGAGCAGTAAGGGGAGTTGTTAAGACTCAAAGAGTGCATTTTACTGAGGCCATCAGAGGCCAAATTAAAGATATTGTCTCTGCAGAGGGACCTTATGGGTAGGCCCCTACAGCATTAGAAGGTCTTACGCATGTACTTGCAAGACAGAACTTGACTCAATGCTGATATGGAATGGGAGTCTTGGGAAGAATAAAAAGCTTTTCTTAGTTCTAGAGAAATATTAATTAATTCTAACTGGAGGTGTCCGGCTGTGACTGTTCTATGGAAGAGCTAGAGGAAATCCTTGGAGCATGCAAAGAGAGCTCCTTGGTGACTTCCCTGAGACAAGTGCATGCTACATTTGATTTTTCTTCTGGAGCATCTAGCGTGTCCTGTAGTTTCAGAGGTGTACCTTGACTGCCAAAGATAGAGTCTTTCTCAGTTGGGTAGTTGCCAGAATGTCATGTCCTTATTGTAGTAAGAAAGAACAGGCCCCAGACAGTCATGTGAAGAGTTCAGGAGGGTCATAAATTGCTGTAGGTTTTCTTAGCTTTTAATATAATAGAAGAGTTTGTTATTCTGTGCAGAGCTGAAAAACACAGCTCTCCAGTGAGATCTCAGTACTTGTGTTACATTTAATTCCATCAGTTTCCAATCAATGTGTTTATATCATGACCCTGTTACAAACTGCTTACAGATTTTAAGGTTTGGTTGGGGTTTTTTTGGTTGGAATTCTTTCCCAAAACACAAGTCTGTGGTTCTACCTGGTACCCACAGGACAAAGTAGATGTCTAGAGTTTCTCCTGGAAATTGTGTCTAACTACTCCTTTTATGTCTGATGGCATTGCTTTATAGATTCAAAACCAGAAACAGACTGTATTGATGCTGAGATTTTAATTGCTGTTTTGGCAGCATTGGAGCACACATTATGCACACCTAGTTCATACTATGGTACAGCTTAGCCTGCAGATTCATCATACTCTAGAGAAAGGTTGTGTATTTTTCCATCCATTTCCCTTTTTATAGGCAATTACCTCTACCTATCCCACCTAAACAGATTATCTGTTTCTTACCTCCTGCTTTCTCAGCACCGTGTATTTGGAAAGGCGGATGGGATTCTGATGATGTACAACATTCAGCCAAGTGCTCTTTCATGGCAGTGCAGAACTGGATGAGCAGTGTCCAGGTATGAGCAGGGCCTTGGCTATCTAGTGCTGGTGGTGCTGCTCCAATTGTCTGGGAGCAATGTTCTCTGATGTCCCAGGAGGTCCTACTGACCACGGGAAGATGAGTTATCAAAGCAGATGGCTATGGGTACTGCCTGTGGCAGTCAGCTTGGGGCCAGGGAATTCTTGTTGAAGATGCCAAAGCCAGTTGTAGCCCATTAAATGAGGGAGGGCTGTTTCTATAGCAGAACATGGTAGGACCTACCAAAACAGTAGTGTGTGTTTGTAAGCAGCTCATGTGCATTGGCAATATCTCCTAAACATGGTTACATCACATCTGTGCCCAGGCAAGGAGATCTCGTGTCCAGCCTATGCACAGGAAAGGGCACTGATGTGTTTAGGGTCAGACCTGTAGCATGCATGCACAATCCCATCCTCACTCTGCTTTGAGATTTCTAGATAAGACTGAAATATTACAGAATCACAGAATCCTAGGGGTTACAAGGGACCTCGAAAGATCATCTAGTCCAACCCCCCTGCCAGAGCAGGGTCACCTAGAGTAGTAATAGCTTTTTTTTTTTTTTTAATTAATTTGTTTCAACATTAAGAGTTGATTTTTTGTTTCTTTTCTATTTGATAGCTGTGTATTAATACTGTAATTTGCTCTGCCCTCTTTTTATTTCCAATGCCTCAATAAAAGCATTCATCTGTGGCTTGTATCTGCTTGCAGAGAAAAAAATACCTGTCTGGATAATTTAAGTTTTGTGTAGATGACTCAGAGCTCAAAGGAAATTGTCAAGGGTGGTTTAATTTTGATTGTGCTGAGTATCAAAAACCAAGATCTAAGCGAAATGAATAAGAGTAGGTTGGAGGGTTTTAGTATTATTAATAATATTAATATTATTAACTTCCACAGGCCTGCTGGGGAAAAAGAAAAAAGCAAACCTTAGCTATTTCTTTGGACTCCAAAAGATCAAGGGTTAAGACTTTCAAAACTGACCAGCCTCTGAAAATTAGGGTCCTTTCAGGAAGGTTAAACTGGGCACAAAGGAAATCAAAGCACCCAGTATCTGCAACTTTTTATAATCTCTCCCCTTTCCCTATCTTAGTATTTATCTTGGTTTGAAGTTGTTCAGGTACTGTAAGTCATCCAGGACAGCCAGGTTTGGATATAACTTCCATCCCATTATGCAGTCCTTACACTGGTGATATTCTCGTAAGCCAGTGAACTAGAGGGAGTTTTACCAATGGTAATGGACTCCAGAAATCACCTAGGAATAACAGCTCCTACAGAGACACTACACAGGAGCTGAAAAGTCACTTAGCTTGCTTGGCCAGTGGATTTTCAGCAAGGAGTGGTTAAGTTTAGGACAGCACATCAGATGAATAGCACCATACATACACACAAAAATTATTTATCTTAATAAGAAGTTCTGCCTGAACTTATATTCTGAACAGCCTATAAGGCAAACTGCTTTTCTTTAGGCTTTTATTTCCCAGAAAGGAACTTATGCCCTGTCTCCCCTGTCTCAGCATCCCAGCTGTACATACCAAAGATCTGAAATATATTCTTGTAGTGTAAGCTTCCTTCCACAAATCCCTGGTGCTGTTTGAAGAACGGCCCTTTAATGAGCTAAAGGGTCTGATCTGGCTGCCAGTGAAGGCCTTGTTTGCATGACTGGAACAGGATCTGCTCCAATGTATTTCTCTCCCTCAGCTCAGTTTCATGGGTGCTTTACTCTTTCTTTTGCAGGAAGGCATTGAGGATGGAACTGTGGTCTTTCTGCTTGGAAATAAAATTAATGTTGCACAGAGAGAGAACAGGAATGTGTCCAGGGTGGAGGGGGGAAGGCTGGCAAAAGTGTGATTCTGTGCTCTGCTGCTCAACTTGCTCTACAGCCTCCCTACAACTGTTAGCCCTGGCCCTTCTTGGAGCCATTTCCCAGGAAGGCACCATACCTCTTCCTCTCACCCCCTGCCCCTGGCCCCCTGTTTCTCCAATGCAAACATGTACTGAGGTCCCTGTGGTACCAGGGAGGATGAGGTGGTGGCCAGCACATGGCAGACAATAGCCCCTGAGGCATGCTCACTTATTTCTCTTGAGGCTTGACACATCCTTACAGTGATGGTTAGTCTTTCTCAGGAAAGCATGTGTGGCTGTTTTCCCATTTGAGGATGCCCCTAATAGATGTCCTGCCTCCTTCCTCACTCTCTGTGTCTTTATGCCCACCAGTACCTCAGCCCCTGGGTGGAGGCAGGTGAGGTTTCATGGACTCCACAACACAAAGGTAAGGGAATCTAAGTACCCTGGGCAAGATGTTTTCTCTGCCAAAATAACTCCCCCAGTGTTTCCTGTTGGACACACTGGCTGGGTCCCTAATGCTGAAAAATCATCTCCTTTTGCTGGGTTGGTGAGCAGTGTGTGTGCATCAGCAGGGTGGTAACAGCCACCCTCCAGGTCCCACCTGCTCTCCACACAGTTTCCAGCAGTGAGCCTGGGCCAGCTCCCAGGGGTGCGGGTGAATGGTGGGGAAGAGCTGGCAGGCAGCATAGGTGCTGCTTGTGCTTTCTGGCAGGAACACAAGGCGTCTTCTATGAGTGCGGCGTGCTGACCGGCTGTAACATTGTGGAGTCCATGCTGCATATGGCCAGGTCAGTGAACAGAAACAGTCACTTTGGGATATTTCCCTATCTGTTGGTGATTAGTGTGGGCTGTCCTGGGGAATGGGTGAGAAAAGGGGGTTGTCAGAGACTGACTTTCTGCCATGCCATAAAACAGACCTGGAGCAATGTGCTCTTCCCCCTGACTCCAGGTCCATGAATTCTGTGCCTGAAGAGCAAGCACCAAGTGTAGACTGGACATTATTGCATGCAAAGCTTCATCTGGCAGAGCTGACTGTTGAAAGACTGGGAGTTTAATTTGAATATTTAATCACAAAAACCTTGTGTACTATCCCAGATACTAAGTTGGTATTTTCAGTTTGAAATCTGCATGCATCTCTAAGTGGCTGTAATATAAACATTCTAACTAGCGCCTTAAACGTGCTTGATTACCGTGCTGCTGCCTAAGATGGCCCACATAGGTGTAGCACACAGCCTTGGATTTTGCCATCAATGTGAAAGCTTGGGAATAAGGCACAGGCCGCTTATGCCCTGGTCTGGTGCTTTGAGTACTCTTGCCTCTTCTATGTGTCCAGTTTCTTTCCTTGTTCCCCAACTTGCAGAGATGCCTGGTCTTTGGGCCAGTCACTTTTAACAATCCTAAATGCCTACCGCTGATGAGGAGCAAAGAGCAGAGATCTTGGCAAGAAGATCTTAGTAACTAGGTTGTGAACGTGATCTGTGCTGCTTATTCCAGGTTGCTGATGGCACAAGAAGACAGGCAGAGGGACAGTGTCCTGCAGATGGAAAATGTGAGGAGGAAAGGGTGCTGCACATAAGGCACATGAGTATGTCAGCAAGAGACCTGCGCTGACTTTGTTTCATGAAGCTGGGGCTGCTTTTGAGCAAGCTAAATCTGATGGTATTAGCTCTGCAGAGACTTGGGAAAACTGCAGCTTTTCCTCATCTGGGAATTTCAAGGCACTAAATCAGGCCAAAATGTGTATATGATCTGCAGTGTTCCATTTCCCTAACCTGCCCACAGCCCTGGTCTCTGGAGACCTCTGCTTCTTTTGGGGAATTCAGTTAATTGCACAAATTGGGCCTTCTGTCTGGAGAAGTCACTTCCCTGTAAAAAGGATGAAGTCTTGTTCTTTTTTTTTCTGGCAAAGGAGTGACCTAGCAGCAGAACTTCACTCGAAGAACACAGTGGGTGCTGTCTTAAATAGAATTTTAGTGCAAGAGATAAAGACATTCTTTTAAAATTGGGCTAGCTCTAGGTAGTGATCCATACATCTCAAAGACCATCATAATTTCTTGGTTCTGTAACTGCAGAGCCCAGCTGAAAGCCTACTGTGGTAAGCAGGAAAACCTCCATCAGTTCCTGTAATATCTGGATCAGGCCCTGTATTACTGCATAATTTGGTTTGATTTGCCAATGTTGTTGTTGATTCTGTGTGAATATAGTATGAATTGATAAAACGAGTCATCCCAGTGACTTTCTTCACTTTGTTGCCCTAAAAGACCTTGTCACTGTCCCTCTCTTACTATTTACAGAACAGTTGCCCTGGGACTCAGAGGCAGTGGCATGTGCTGCTGATTCATGTGCTGTACACGCTAGGGGGGCCATATATAGACTGGTTTAAGGCTCAGTGTTTCCTGTTTCCTCCCATTCTCTTATAATTTCCTGAACAATCTCTAGCAACTAGGAACTGACTTTATCTACAGTACTGAAAGATTCCCCTCTGTTAGCTTGGCCACAGTGCTTTCAAATGTACCTTGACTGAAAGTACAAGGCACAGGTGTCTCTGAGAAATGGACCTACGAAAGCTTTTCCTCGTACCGAGACCTTGTGCAATAACCTCACTTTTCTGGTGAAGGACCTGAGAAAAGAGCAGGACTGAATCTGTTCCCTTTGGGAACTGGCCTTCTTGTCACTAAGCAGTGAAATAAAGCAAGGCAAGGGGAGGGAGCACAGTCTGAGGTAGGAACTGGCCCAAAAAGTGCACCACTCAGCACAGCCATGCCTGGGCATGAAGCCCTTGGTGTTCCCTGGGTGTGATGATTTTTGTTTTGTAGTTCAGTTGCTCTTAAAGCCTTCTGAGACTATGTGAGCTTTTTTATAATGCCGTTCACTTTCTTCTTTGAGCTTGTTTCTGTGTATGTGACTTTGACATTTTAGGTGTAAGAAGTGATACTGCAGTTGTGAAGCAGTCCCCCCAGCCTTGCAGCACAGAGAAGGCCTCTATTTGTCCGCTGTCTTTTCTCTCTTGGGATATGGTAATTACTCTGAATGTCTGTTTATTGGACAAATTTCTCTGGGAATATCCCATTCAGGAGAAGTGCTCCGAGTCACCTACAGTCTGAGATGGCTGAAAAGAAAAAGGGCACAAGCTGTCTTGTGGTGCAAAGTGACTAATTTATTGTTTTGTGAGTCCTCTCTTATATCCATACAGAAACAGATCTAGCACATGAGCCAGCAGGATGTTTTCATAATACTTGAGCATGCAGCCTTCGTGTGAAGCACTCATGCTTGCTAGCTTGGTCTTCCAAGCTGGTACATTCACACATACACAGTGGTTTTCCAGACATGTTTTTTCACTCACGACAAGTACTATTTAGAACATCCTGATGAGACTGGCTAAGATCCATCTTATCTTTTCCCAGGCCACTTTGACCTAACCATCCCACATGCTGGGGCCCCCACTCTTGCAGCAGCAGCTGCAGCCACAAGTCCATCAGTGTTACAAATAATTTCCATGGTTCATCCTGGTGCCTGTTAGGGAAGATTTCCTCTTGAAGAGCAGGATTTGTGACTAAAAGGAATAGCTAAAAATAATAAGCTCCTGCTCAGTCCTTCCTGCTGGCTGGCTGTGGTTCACACTGTTTAACTGCAGTAATATTTTCCAGAGACTGTGAAAGGGAAAGTTAAGAGACATGCAGAAGGAACCAAGGCTGCTGGTGTGGAGTCTATGGCTCCAGCAGTGCTGCAATTGGAACTGATTGTGTTTGCAAGAAACGGTGTTTGGGAAGGGAAAATCTTTCTGTTTTCAGAAAGCACCTGTAATCTGAACACAGATGTGGCTTTCTGGCTTTTTAGTGAATATGGATGAGAAAGAGCATAGGCATTGTCACCTGTTGAATAGGTCAAACCACTGACTTGGGCAAGCTGCTGTCAATGATTTCTCTGCATCATGCTCCAGTTGCAGATTAATAAGGAGTGGCACTGACTAAGAACTGGTATCTTTGGTCAAGACACATCAGTAATGCTAAGATTTACTTACCTGCAGCAGCCGGATTTGGGAAGTAGCTGCAGAAGGAAGACAGCAGTAGCCGGTCTGCTAGCATGGTCTGGATGCACACCTCCAAGGCTGCATAGGGAGCATATGAAAGACAGGTGTGAAATACTGCTGACACACGAATACCAGCTAGTCTATGTACACTTTAACATACCTTTATCAAAGCATACCTTTATCAGTGCTGTAATATTGCAACAGCAAGAACTACCATGTGAAATTTTTTAATGTACAACCTCAAGCATGTTTCTTTAGTGTGCAAGCAGAGTACAGAAAATAAAGAAATGTCATCTTACACATGGTTATGCTGAGAGATTTTTTTCAGGCACTGCAGGAGATTCAGCCTCCCTTCTTCAGTCACTGACTGTCCCCTTTTTGCTGATCAGGAAGTGCTGAGAAGCCTGTCCTCCATGGCTCCAGCTGGATGTTTGTGCATTACAAAACTAACCTCTCTGCTGTTTGATGAAAGAAATTATTACTTATTTCCCCTGATATTAATTGATAGAACACTGTTCATAGTGAGATTTTTTTTTTTTAGCAGGAACAGGGTGGACTTTTGTTTCAGCAGTGACAAAGTGGCATAGAGTTTGAGCAGGTTGCACTTGGACAACTTGGACACAGTCTAGAGGGGCATTTAATTAGTTTTTAAACTTGTCTGATACTAGACCCAAACAGACTTTCCACAAAATGCCTAATTTTACTACATCCTCTGCTTTGGCAGGGGGGTGATATCTAGAGGTCCCTTCCAACCCCTAACATTCTATAATTTTATGATTCCCTGTTTTTTTTCAGAATCTCTCCTGCCTCTGAATGGAAGCTCTGGGAGCAGCCACCCTCTGCAAAATGGTTGCTGGAAACTGCAGGGTAAATAAAAAGCAAATAATTAGGCTATCCTGAGGTGGCATGAAAGAAAGGACACAAAATAGACTGCCTGGGGGCTTATGCCTATGCTGTATTGGCTGCGGTCTCTTAGGGGACAGGTGACTTTTTCATATAAACTGTAAAGCATTTTGGAATCATATTGCGAGAAATTACTCTTCTTACAGCCTAGGAAACCTTATCCTGGCACATGAAACAGTGCAGCTGTGTATACAATCAGATCTAGGGGCAAAGACAAAAAAACAGCTGCTCTAATAAACAGCCACAGTCCCACAAAGCTCTGCACACAGGTGAAGAGACTTCACTGCCTTGTAGTTTCTCTTGTCTCTTTCATGTTAATATGCTATGGATAAGTGTAATAGGATTGGTCTGACAGCATATCATTAAAAACCCAAAACAAGGCTGAAGAAAGAACCTGAAGCCACAGTGTTAAGTTTAAAGCTTTCCCACCAGAAAAATGCAGGAATTGCAGAGGTTTGGGATGTTGATTTCTTCTACCTTTTTTATTCCAGCAGCCTGAACTCCAAGAGGCAGTTTCCATTTTTATCAGTTCCTGCTATGGGGCTCATGCAGTCTCTCACACATTATTTTCTGTCTTGTCACTCTCTTTTGTTTGTGTCTTTTCATGTTCTTTTTACTTGCTAATTTCCTAGTCCACATATATATATTGACCAAGTACTTCAGCTCCAAATACAAATGTATGTCATAACTCATGCTATGCACTTTTAAGTGCTCTATTTGAAAATCTCCTGATAAGCACAAATAGGTTCACAGTCCTGCAGCTCAGAGGTTTGTTAGCTCTTTGAGCCACCATCAGTCTGCTTATTACTTATCTGGCTGTTTATGAGTCACACAGAAATTTAATTTGGCACAGCTAGAATAATCTGTCAGTCCATCTCCAGACTCTTCAGCCCTGTAAGGCATGTTTTATATGCCTATCAAGCCATGTCGTTTAATAAGGCCCTGATCCTACAAACACAAACGTAGCTGTGTTCTTTGCCTGAAACGACTAGTGCATGGGAGACCTGGCCAGGTAAAATTAGTTTTTCCAAGGTAAACATGTGTCCATTAAATATATATTACTCCAGTAATAAGCCAAAGACTGGGAGGTGGGGGGGTGGTACATCTCACCTCTACCTGCAGGCTTTCTCCCAAGCACTCACTTGCAGTACAGGCAGCATTTGTGCCTCATCATGACCATTTGCTGACCCAATTCAGCCAGGGTGGGAAGTTACGTTCTTTCCTGTTTGTACATTAAATCTCTGGACATGGCAAGAAGGTAGTAGCCCAGAGTGGCTGGCTGCTCAGGGCTCTGCCAAGGAGGGCTTGGGTCTGGGGCAAGGGCTGGCATCTCCTGCTGCCTCCTGCCTGTGCCACACACTGCAAGAAATGTCTCAGTGTGTGAGCCGGTCCCCTGAGGCTGCATTTAATCACTTGGCTCTCCAGGAGCTTTAGGTAGAATCCATGTGGTCTGAGGAGAGAGGGATTGGGTTTACTCAACGGGAAGGACAAAGTGATTTTTGAGTTGGAACCACGGGCTGAGAGAGGTTAAGTGTCACAGTCCAGACAAACATCCAGGAAGTCCTAAAAAGGCCCTCTCTCTCCCTCACTACTCAGATCTCCATCCATAAAAACCCATGAGGCCACCCAGGGGCTGAGGGGGG